ACCTGTATATACATCACACCTGTAGATAATTTTGCGATCCACGATTTATGGTAACCCAATTAGAGTCGTCCACGGCATCATGACATTCATTCTCGATGTTACATGCCTGAATGTCCAAATGGACATAGATAACTCTACCGCCTCCTATTCCATGATATATATCGGCTCGAAAGATAACAGTTATCTACGTGCAAGGAGTGGTAAAAGATGGATAGTTTACACCGTTTCCGTAATAAGTAGTTTGGTTGGATTTATAAGGAATAAAGGGGTTTTAAGATGAGTGATTTGATTAGACAAAGAGTGAGCATTGAATGAAAGAATAAAAAACTGAGAGGTATCATGATGAAGCAGGTTACAAGTATAGACCACAAGTGGTAGTTCCATGAATACTCGTGGGATCGGCTAGGGTAAGAATTGTGTTGTGAGGGGAAGTAGATTCAACAACTTTGTCATTACTTGAAATATATTTACCGTTACCGGCAGAATTGTAAAAAAAAACTCCCAATTTTTATTGATTATGACATGTGATAGAGGTATTTCTACGTATAACGCTTGTGAATTTAGGCACTATGAAAGCAATTCACTCAGGTTGCATATGTGCCTGATCAATTGCAGACCGATACATCAATGGGAAGATTTGACCAGTCAATAAAAAAAATGAACTATATTAATTCTATTATTTGGCTCTGTGGTACAATTTATTTCGATTACACTATATGCACTCAAAAATACTGTCGTCATAATCAGGATAAGACCTACGACACATCGATACAGTAAATGAGCTATCTTCTCATTACTGATAACTTTACGTAGTGCTGACAATCGGCTGTGGTGTCCATGACTGGTGACAGTAATGGTAGAATTCAGGTCGGATACATAGATCATCTGCCTGAGTGTTAGCATGCATCTCATGAGTCCGCCTTATAAAATTATCAGGATCAGTATCCTTAACAGCAGGGATGTTCAGCATCATATCCATAAATGAATGAGCTATGATCTGCTTCTCACCGAACGCTTCTTTGAGGAGCTCCAACGCCTTCTTCTGGTTCGAGCATAGCACAATGAACAAGATAGCACTGATCGACTGGCTTCCCATTAACACTTGGTTATGTGCTGTTAGTTTAGAAAGTTCCATCAGTGCGAAGAAATCGGTGTAGGATTTAATTTTTCTCACAGACATTCTACCAAAACTGTAGATGCGATACCGACGACCCAGGGTCTATGTGAGAGTTATAATTAGAACAAGGACAACTTGACTTTAAATTTTATCTCTTTCTAAACGTAAAAATAACAATTTGATTAGTACAATAACTAAAGGAATTATAGTCATTAAGTGGAACGCACAAACATACCGTCCAGTATTGCGTGTTTTATCGAATGAATAAAAATTATGAGTCACACTAATATAACAGGATAATAATGTCCTTCAATTGGCAGGCCACATGCAACAGGGATAGTCTACAGACACATCAGACCAGATTGACGTGGTGGGTGTTTAAGCAACGATTTGATTGGTTAGTTATGGACATAACTGACAATGGTCATCATCGGTTCTATTGTTAGTAGCAAAAACTGTCAATGCCCGGTATATATTTCTTGTTTTTGCTTATTTTTGGCTGAAAAAATAACCAACATTCATACGCAACATAAAAAATGGGGAGCACTATGTAATAACAGTTTGTTCAGCGAAAGGAAAGTTATCGAATTCGGATGTTATTTGTGGCATAATCAGTATGTCAATATATACGTGTATGTACAACATGATGGATAATTTATTATACATAGTTAAGTAATATGTTATCTGCCATCAGGTTTTCGTCGAGTTGAATCATAAGCACGAATCAATTGAGATTGGCTGACTGCACCATGTTCTTCTTGAGAAAATGCATAACCATCTATATAGATACAAAATAAAACAAGACAACAACATGTAATTAGTTCCAAACAAATTGGATGATGAGGTCAAAGATTAACTCAATGGCCAAGTGTGCTTAATTTTGATACTGGGTCACGTGTGTTCAAATACGAGAGTAGTAGTTTTCTTCAACATTGTATGTTCATTATTCAGATGGGTATCACTTATCATGAAACATATACCCAGAGCTGTAATAATATGTTGTGTTGTATCCTGAGTGAGAAACTACTGACTTTGTCAGTGATTTCAGCGTGTTATCAGTAGCCACTAGAACATCAACAGATCTATAAATGCCTATTTCTATCATGAAACATTTAGAATTTTGAGGACCCAAGATCCTACAAAATATCGAAACATGGGAGTTTAGGTCTCACGATAAGCACGTTAACAACACATCGAATTAGAGTCCTATAGTTCCCATATCTATTTCTCCGGTTAATTCGCGATAATGGACGAATATTGTCAACACGAACACACTTAGTAACCTATAGGTAACGTCATCGCAAAGAGATTCTATACATTTCATTACACTACTTATCAATATCAAATAGCTTATGTTATAACTCATTTATTTTAAGACAACGTTTTTAATAAAATTAGCTAATATAAACATGAACAGTAGCGTTTTGGTTCATTTTCATATTTATAGTGGTGCTTCTTTAACCACATTATGCGCCATTACTGAAACCTTATCCACCCGGTATTCCATTCCCAATACACAGTGTTTAGATCAGTTCGCTAAGTAACGGTAGTCAAACACTTTAAGATTCAAAGTTCGTACACCATTTAACTAGTACCGTATTCCAATAGAATCCTGTCTTTTTGATCTCAAGATTTCACGCGTGACTTATTGATTCGGCTAAGTCCTTGAAAAAACTCAATGACACTGTTCAGTAAATAAAGTGAGAGGAGTAAACTAGAGCTATCGCTATCTCATGAAAAAGTATCCTTACATAGTGTGTTCAACCGCAAAGTGAAAACCGCGGCGACGTGCCTCTAATAGTAATTTAGTTCACACAGATTAGAACTAAATGAGTCATCGACATAAACAAACATACAGTATCGTCCGACTAGATGTTTTGAAACATGAAAAATGAAGAGTAAACAAATCAAATGTCAAGAATGGTGAGTATTTTTAATTAACACATAAGTTTGGTAAAATCATTGTTCCAAATAATAAGTTTATAGAACAGACCTGTCGACAGCCTTCGAGACTTCTGCAGTAAAGTTTTCAGAAACCTTAAGAAGGCTGAAAACTCTTCATACAATCAGCATGGAATGGAAACTCTTCATAGAGTTCTAGACCAATCAAGAGTCACATCCTGATTGAACGATTAACGATCGTTTTTTACTAATTTCAGCATGTTTCCATAAATCTCCAGATCATGTTTAATGACTCTGTATCTGATTCCAGGTCGATCGTTATTATTATTATTATTTGGACACATAGATATTGGTACAAGGAAGCACCAAATACATATGCGCCACACAAATGATTTGATTTGTGAGAGGGCTGTGATACTGCCCAGGAGCCTAGATCGAAGCAGGCGTTTTTCTTACGAGGACACACCCGGAGCCTCCGACATAAAGACCTGATCCACAAGGCAGTGGAGCAACGTTAGAAGATGCAGACCCATGGTAACCGATGACTAATAATTGGTTTATACACTATTTGTTCCTTCAGGATACTGGAGCCCATGTGCACCATTGGTTTAGAATCAGGGTTTTCCAACTCTCCTAAGTGGACTCTCCATGTCCACCGACCCGGGTAAAGCGCCGAACGACCGTATGATTGATTGTTATTAAATAATTGCTGTCGAAATATATATCCTGACTATTCTCGTATATTATTATCGACTTAATCCGCGTTAGTGAATAACGGAACTAAATGAGCCAAATACCAGAATGAATTTGGAATAAGTATATTTCACGTACTCATTGAGACGAAACAAAGAGGGAAAAGTAAGGCAGATTGAAGAAGCGAAGAAAAGAGCGAAGCGAAATGTCGCGCAGTGGAGGAGTGAGAGCCAATTCAGTTTAATCAAATGTTAATCGATATTTATAGTGGCACGAAAATAGGTTACAGTCAAGATTGATACGCGAATAATTACTAAGGTGTGACCCAAGGAGAAAATATGGGCTTGTCACGAAGCTAGAATAAGTTATGTAGGCTTAACAAAGTATAAATATAAATCGAACTTACGATCTGTTTGCCGAGGATCTGTTATGGGTGTCGGTGATGTTGTACTTGTACGTACACTAGCACCAAGACAAAGATTAAGCAATGCCTGTGAACCCATACTTCTACGCATAATCCGCACAAACGCGGAACGGTCGGTAGATCTGTAATAAATTACATACATATTAATATTTTTGTTTAAAAATATTTAGACACTCAAAATAATAAAAAATGACAGAACAACTCAATATTAATAATACACCAATGAAATTTAAAGAGAACACACAATCAGGTTATAAGAAATCCTTGAGTGTAACGGGTAGGTAGAATAACGAATATAACCAAAGTACTATTTTATTCATCAAAGTGAGGAACAATTAACAATATTCATTTTAAAATTCTGCGAACAGTAGATGAGACAAAATGAAACAAGAAACTTTGAATCATACATTGTGAGAATATATACACCTGCATGAAATATATGCCTACATATACATCACAATATAACAAAGACTATTTATCTGTGATATTGAAAAGAAACAGAAATTTTTAATTTTAATGAAATAGTTTATTGTAAATTGTACACTGATGGTTGATTAGTAAACAAAGTGAAATTATTTGTGTGCACGAAAATGCTTGTTTGTAATAACAACTCAGCAAAAAATAATGACAACAAAACCTCATGTTTAGTGGTTATATCAACCAATCAATCGATTACTGGTGAAAAGTATATATGTATCAAGTATATACTACATACAAGTTTATGTATTGATCTTATAGCACACAACTTGAACACTAGAACCCTCCAAGTCGCAAGTTAGAAGACAGAAGACGAGTAGAAAAAGATTTTATTGCAACCAGTCAAATGTGGTACAAAACACTCGTGTATTTATAGTTTTCAGTAACAAATGAAATCATTACAATCACTCAATCCGCATGCAGTGGTTCTTAACATTTGTCCAATCGGGAAGCTACATGTCGAGATTCTGAAATGTTATTCCTAATGCTGACTGGATGAAATGTCTTATGCTTCTTAACGCTTCCTACAGTTCACTGGGAACCGTCCCCTACACCTCACTTCTTTAAAGTCTCTTGTGTAAGGCTTTCTCTCGGGTCCACTTGAAACTTGGTTACCGCATTCCTTTTGCGGTCCATCACCCTTGAATAATGCATTTTACACTTCGTTCTTTTATATCTTCAAACCTTATGGGATTAGAATCGACAATTGTATCTCTGTGCTCATGTGGTATGGCAACTTGAACTGATGTACGCACGTACAAATTTCTACGCTGTTGCTGATTGGGTGGCAACATACTGATGAAGATTGTCCAAACTCCCCTTCCGAACATACACTCAGCTGGGGACTTTTCTTCTGGCGCTATCGGATTGGGTGTAACTCTGTGGGACAGTAAAAACTTACTGATCCCTTGTACTAGAATACCTTCCTCTTCCCCTTTAATCAGAGCCCATTTTATCGTATCCAAGAATTTTCCTGCTTGTTCATTTGACTAAGGATGGTACAAAGGAGATCGTAGATGCGTAGTGCCATTTTCACTGAAAAACCGTTTGAAAGAGGACGACATGAATTGAGTGCCCTTGTCAGTCATTAAGATATCCAAAATAGGCGAACAATCTTGATAAATTTATTATTGTATCCCCATTTACTTGAAAAATATATACGTCATTATACATATAAATCACTTGGATAACCTTAGCGAAAATTAACGTTCAAACCTGCTGTAGGCATGTCTTCATTAATAAGACGAGTTTAGTGGAAAGAGCCAAGTCCAATATCAATATAGTTTGATTTATTTATTTCATTGACTTAATAAAATTATTGATGTACACAACTGAAAGCGTAATGACGTAAAATAAGGCTGGTAATGTATGTATGTGTGTCTATCTGTATGTATGTATGTATGTGAAACGGAAAGCAGAGAACAGTTTGTACTATTATCAACTGATTTATCAGTGTAACTGAAAAGTTAGCTTAGATAGAATAACACGGTTAATCCAAACTAATGATGCAAGTGACCAAGGACAAATCGGTACATTGTGATTTGAGACATAGGTCATGTTCGAGAGCTAGTTGCTTAAACCGTATTAGATGGGGTGGAATATTAACTCTTGACATAGTGATTAATGTTGAACCCAATTAAGACCAAAGCTACCGTTCAACCCAGTGAAAGTCAGTAATCAATAATTACACCCAAAGCGATGTTCCAGCACCTACAACCTGAATGTTTAAAAGACAAGTATGTTTAAACTAGTATAAGACAATCTCGGATTTACAGGGTTTTTTCTAAAGAGAAGTAGAATTGTTGATATTCGATGACAAAATGATGATTACTCATGACAAGGTTCGATAGTGTATAGTCCAAGGCACAGTGATAGAAACCCAGTTAGTGTCATGATTTTCGAAACACTGACTTAGATGGCTTGGTTATATTTACGAATCACATTCCAGGGACTTCCATATCATGCATCATCTGTCGACATTAAGAGTGGGGATGGATAAAATGGAGGTAGATTTTTCAATGATATGGAACCGTGGTATTACAGATAACTGCATAGGACTGGTTTAGTACCCATTGTCTGACTCGATTATGATCGAATCGGTAATGATGTAGACAAAATGTAGATCCTACTTACAACAATGAAAAGGTCAAATATACATGTGGATAATAACTCAAAAAGAGTAGAATAATCGGTTATTGAAAAGTTAGGATAATTCATGTAGTCATGAAATGATCCTAAATGCTACATGGTCCTACTTGTAGAAAACGATATACAAGTTTGGACCAATAAGTTAGAACAAGGTTAATGTGTCATCGGTTCGATATGAATAAATTAGGTGACTTAATCAATACTCAGATCAGATCATCGAACTCCTCATATAATTATGATCTGATCACACATGCCTGGAATATAATACAAATGCGTTCTTCTTGAGTTCACGACATTATTGTTTGTACATGATTAAGGAACATTTCTAACTGAACTACAGGTTTGTAAACGTCATAGTTTAAGCTTAGTTAATATATCATGACCGCTAATTTTAATCCTAATTGTAACTTCATCCCATGCCTATGGAGTCGATTTTATACCCAAATACCCTGGTACGGCTAAGGGTGGGAAGAGTTTACTCTCCTCCTCGAAATGTTCGCATATGGCCAAGCGTATATAAATAATATCACGGAAGTACTACTGCCTTCTCGTGGTGGGGTTGTTGTCTACGAAATTGAGGGAGCGGAAAGCAAATACCCGGTTAATAGGTACGGGGCATCCCCCTAGGTAAGTTGCAAAACCTTGATTCCAAACCAATGGTAGACATGTGCTGCAGAATCCTGAGCGAGCAAGTGGCATATGAACCTATCTTTGGTTACCGTCTATCATGAGACCGCATTTCCTAACGCTGTTCCACTGACTTTTGGATTAGACCTCCCAGTCAAAAGTTCGGTGAGTGACTCTCTAAGAAAACTATCTGCTTAGGTTTAGGCCCCAGGCCAGTCCAGACACAGTCAACGGTTTGTGTGACCCACACATGATTGGTGCCTTTTCTTACTAATGTTTATGTGTTTAGATAGAAAAAACTTCATACGAGCGAAGTATTACTCTATCTCATATTTCTTTAAAATTGCTTTCACAAATGAGTGTTTTTCTCAGCAATTCAAACCCTTGTAAGTATTTAATGATGTTTTCTTCATTGAAATAAACTTTAATAATAAAGTTGGTAGATGAAATCTTAATAACGGTGGCATAACTGCTTTGAAGTGTCCCTTCGTTGGTTGTGATTGGCACGTCATTAATCAACAAAAACAGTTGGTCAACTTCACAAATTCGATCGTTAAATATATAAAACACATTTATTACTATGCATGTGTGATGTAACGATTGATTATTAATAATTATCATTGTTCAATGTAAATGAACTTTAGTGTATTGAATATCATTATAGATCAATTGGAAAGAAAAAAACAAGTGAACGAAACAGGCAGTCAGACAGACGGAAGGACATAAGACAAGATGAGATCTGATATGTGGTAGCAATGTATATCGATTAGATTAGTCATAATACTTTAGATATGATATTGATTCTATCGACTTAATTGCAATGTGACCAGTAGAAAGAATCGATTAACGTAAAATGGACTACGCAAATATGAAATCCGTCACTCACTAATCTATCACTCAGTGATAAGTCAATTGTAAATATGTCAGTTCTACAGGAAGATTAATCGCTGCTAGAACAGTTCAGTGGTAACACCTCATGTTGTGAAGCTGGATGACGCGATTTAGAATCCCAAAGGCAGTGTCAGTTCTATCAAGATTGCATGCGTCTACCTTGCAGATAAGTGACAACGAGCACGAAACCATAGGCCAATGGTTTCTTGATAATTACTACTATTTCATAACATCAAACAATTGTCTATTGCCTCACGATTTTTATTAGTTTCTTAATGAAAGTCAGTGCGTTATGTAAACTTGTGGTGTTTGAATGAACTAATAACTCCTTTGTACTTGTTGAATGCCTGATTTCGAATTCTAAATACAATACATTCGTTCGTGCTTATCTAGTAGTTCTTGATCCACTCACGTGATTTCTGGGATTATTAGTTCATACTATAATTCAAATACTTCTAATTATCATATTAGCGTTGCGATGGGGCCTGCGATGGAACAGTTAGATATTCATTCGGATTTTGATGCTTATGAGGATTACTTTGAAAGGTTCGAAATCTGGGCTATGACCAAGGAAGATGATGAGAATATTAATATTGTGGCACATTTTCTCACATTCATCGGAAAAGAAGCATATAGCTTAATAAAAATTTTAGCTTTACGGGTAAAGCCCATTTCTCTTCCTTATACAACTCTCAAGGAACTACTTCTAGACTATGCTAAGTATACAAATTTCGAATGCGGTAAAGGGAGATTTCGTAAAATAATTCATGAGGATATAAAAAATTCCACTACATTACGTCGCCCCATCCCAGTGCATACTCAGGATTATGCAGATAATTCATTTGGGAATCGCAATGCAGTTCACGAGGATGGGCACAAGTTTGGTCAATGTTTGTGCTGTGGCAGGTTCCACTCTTTTAATTCATGTAAATTTCGTAATTCTAAGTGCTTTAAATGTGGTGATGTTGGACATATTCAG